CTCTGCCAATTTAAAAATATCATACAAACAGGACCTGTGTTTGAAATTCTACCTGTACTTCCAGGAGGGTGTCCTCAGGGCTTTGCCTGCAGGGAGGTCACCAGGAGTCAATGCAAATCAGGCCAGGTGCCTCACCAGCAGTAGGTTACCTCCAGGCCCCTCAAGGCACAGGAAGATTTTAGAACAGCAGTACCACGACAGATGTGTTGAAACAAAACAAAACAAGGTTGTTTGTTATCCTGTTAAAAAGGAGGGCAAGATTTCTCTAAGTCTTTAACCCTCTGCTCCTGCCCAATAAACAACGTGATTCCTGAACTAGCAGGCTGTTTATGCACAGGCTTCAACACAGCGAGCTGTGATGGGTCAAAGTAAAGGGTAAAGGGATGGCAAAGTCTTCACTCTGCAGTTCTGCCTTCTGTCAGACCTTTTAATGTAATCTTAATCCATTCTGTTTAATAATCTTTTGTCCAATAGACATAAATAAAGCATAAATATGTGTCTGATTGCAATGAATTAGTTTCCTAACAGAAGGCATCCTTGCCAAGATTCTGTAGCGATCCGGTCAATGCAGATAATGTGGTACATTAGAGCAGAAGCTGGCAGTTCATTGTTCTATGAATAGATATAGATTTAGCATTTATGGGAGTCTTTGAATAGGATGAAACAAAGCAATACTGGTAGCCGACCGTCCTTCCTGGGTTTGATTTTAGTCAGTAATTTTATATCAGGTCAGTGAATCATTATTAAGAGAATTTGTGCTTAAATATCCAAAATGAGTATGCATTTCTTTGCAAGTGTACTTTTGCCTGAAACATTATTAATACTGTATATACATGGCATCAAAATAATTGGAAGTCCTATTTTCATCCTGTCTATTAATTTAATTTTTTCTTAAGTGGAGGAAAATATTTACTTGTATTTTCCCTAGAAAGCTTAAATCACCTGAGGTAACTGAAAAGGAATTAACATTGAGATTGGGAGTCTTGTATCAGGGTCTTATTGTGGCCATTGGCTTCCTATTTGATTTTGGGCAAGTCACTCACTCAAGTTTACAGTTCTATTCTCTAGATTTCAGGATTTGGGATTCTATGATCCTTGGGATCAGCTCTACAATTTTATGAAAAAACATCAAGATAATGATCCTGTTTTTCATCATCCTGAGTTGGTTATGCAAGACATATCAGACACTTTATATAATATTTTGGTTTACATTTTGTTAGTGATTCTTTTATGGTATTGAGAAGGCTAAAAAGGGCTAATTCAAATGTAACCCTGATATTTTGGGAGCTGGCAATTGGAATTCATGCCAGCAAGCTCAGTGTGCATTTTTTAAAAAAATATATTTTATTGATTTTTTACAGAGAGGAAGGGAGAGGGATAGACGGCTAGAAACACCGATGAGAGAAAAACATTGATCAGCTGCCTCCTGCACACTCCCCACTGGGTATGTGCCCACAACCAAGGCACATGCCCTTGACCAGAATTGAACCTGGGACCCCCAAGTCTGCAGGCCGACGCTCCATCCACTGAGCCAAACCAGTCAGGACTCAGTGTGCATTCTGGATGATCTATAATTGATGTCATTGCCTCCTTCCCAGAAACTGGTCTTGCAAGGCGTGTCACTGCCCTGGGTGGAGGCAGAGGTCATTATCGAACACCCGGGGGCCTTCCTGTAAGCCCATGAAAGGGAGCGGAACCATATCTGCAAGACAAAGACCCCAGAAGATTATAAAAAGCAAAGCCTCTGCATGTTACTTCACTCTAATTTGGAAATTATTCCCGGAGTCCACTAGTTTTAATAGACGGGGTCCCTCCCTTTCTCTAGGAAGCGTGCTTGGTATTTCTTTGCTCTTCTGTAACAGTATTTGATTTTAATTTAATCAAGTTTCAAAATTATTTTGGTTAAGGTTTCCTTGAGTTGTCTTATTGGAATCCAATAGCTGATTTGATTTGTCCCAGTGTCTTCGATGATGATCACTTTCCTCTTTTGTCTAGGTCCTCATTTTAAGGTCAAAGCTTGAATATCAGCATCACAAATGTCTCTGAGTAGCTCCTTATTAGGAAGAGCCTCTACATTTACTTGAACTACTTATTCTTTCTTCCCACTTTCTTTGTGCTTTACTGTTCTACCTTTTTTTTTTCATTCTTGTCTCTGCACCCCAAAGTCCATAGCTCTTCTGATATCTAGAAACTTTGACAGCTGTGCTCAGCCCTTAGTAGTAGAGCCAGTCCTCTGGAGCCATGCGCTGTCTCCTGCCCCACCGTGAACATATGCAGTGTGTAAAGGCTCACTCAGCACAGGGCTTGTCAAGAGCTGGCAGTCAATAAGTAGAGATCATTTTCCCCTAGAGGTAGATTTCTCTATTCCATTGTTTTAAATATCACGGATAGGACTTTTCCTCAATTTACACTGAGATTGTTTGTCTGGCTTGAAGACTGGAGAGGTAGTTGTACCAGACACTCATATCTGTAGTCCTTTTCTGTGTCCACTTTATTGTCCCCTGTCCTGTGTCAGTCCCTGCTAAAGGCAATCAGTTCTGCTTGGACTCTGGCAGATTACAGGCATCACTTGAGATCACATTGAGAATTTCTCCTCCTGCCCTGTGGCTTTCTTGTTGATATTGAGGCATAAGATCCCAGTAGAGCTGATAGGTATTTATGTAAGCACAATCCAGAAATACAGATGGGAGGAAAGAAGGAACAGAGGATTTGGGGCCAGAAATTTCCACTCTGCAGAACAAATCTTTGACCAAAGGAGAATGGGACTAATAAATGAATTCTTCCCCTTTCCCTGACCTAGAGAGACTTTTCATTTCAAGAGTGAACATGTATGATCTTCCAAGATTCAACAACCAATGCATATGATATAATCTCAGTAAAACACCCAGTTATTAGTTCATCTCTTCTTCCCTGTGTAATTCTCTGTCTCACTCCTGCTTCCCTGGGTTTGCACTATCTAATACAATAGTAGCATATGAACTTTTGTTTCAGCTTCTGCTTTCTTGGGTATTCAGACTAAAACTTTGGATATTTTAGACAATATTTATGAATAATACGTAGACTTATTCATGGTCTGATGAATTATGACAGAATAGAATATAAAATAGTAGAAAATTATGCAGATCATATGCTTTAACTAGATTCCTATACCTCCTATAATTTCTCCATGATTTTAAATTTAATGTTTTGTGGGAGAGTAGAAATGCATGGAGATGGAAAATGCAGCACATGTAAAGTTTATAAGGATTCTTTCTTTTCTATTTTGTAGATGAAATCTTTCCCAAATGTCAAGGGCAAAAATACTAGTGAAACCAAATCTGTGTCCCAGTCTTATTTTTAAAGATATGCTTGCTTTAAAATGTGTCCTACTCTTTCAACGGAGATAAGTAGTAAGGGAAGAGTTGGGAAATACTACAATATTGATTATAAAAATCTTAGAAGAAAATTCATATCTTCTATCTCCCCATGCAGTAACTGTAATTTCACACTTACCATCCTCATCTAAACAGATTTTTAGAGAAAACACTAAAGTAGATATTCACATATTCAATAAAAATTGGTTGAGTGTCTACTCTGCTAATTACTGCTTTAGGTGCTTATTTATTTAGCAGTAAGTAAGGTAAGCCAGATCCCTGCTTTCATGGACTTTATGTTCTAGAGCAGGGGTGGGGAACCTTTTTTCTGTCAAGGGCCATTTGGATAATTATAACATTCTTGGGCCATATAAAATTATCAACTTAAAAATTAGCCTGCTATTTTGGACAAACATTTATTTAACTCACCCCTAATGCCTTGGCAGGTCCAGACCAAATGATTTTGAGAGCCTTATATGGCACATGGGCCAGACGTTCCCCATCCCTGATTTAGAGGAATGGAACAAAAAAAAGATTTAAAAAATACACAGGAAAATTAGCAATAGAATTTTTAAAGGTGATAGTGTGCTGGAGACATAGGGTGATGTGATATGTAAAGACTGAGATGATATGAGCACTGAATTTTTTCTAGAAGCTGGCTATGTGATGCTTGGGCCAGAGATTTTCAAACTAGAAAGCCAAGTGAAAAACAAAACAACAACAAAAGGTATGAAGTAGTACAGATCAGAAAAAAGAAGCTAATATGGCTGGCAGGTAGTGTTATGAAATGAGATAGAAGAGGTTAAAAATGGCCAACATTTCATTATAGGCAAAATTAATGAGTCTGAGTTTATTCTAAATGCAGTGGAAATCTCTTGAAGGGTTTTAATAATACGTAAAAAGACATACAAAATAACCCATTCCATAGCGTTTTTGCAAATATTGGATACTAATAAAAATCTATGAATGATTTTTTTAAATGACCTTATTTTTAGACCAGTTTTAGATTAACAATCCTATTCAGCAGAAGATGTAAAGAGTTCCCACATACCTGGGCCCCTACACATGCATAGCCTCCTGCAAATATTAACATCCCCCACCAGAATGGTACATCTCTTACAATTGATAAACCTACATTGATACATCATAAGCACCCAATATCCATAGTTTATATTCAGGTTCACTCTTGGTGTTGTACACTGTATGGGTTTAGACAAGTACATAATGACAGGCATCCATCTTTTATGGTTTCATACAGAGTATTTTCACTCTTCTAAGAACACTGTATTTTGTCTATTTATCTCTCTCAACTCAATAACCCTAGCAATCACTGTTTTTTTTACTGTCTCCATAGTGTTACCTTTTCCAGATGGCTATATAATTAAATTCATTCAAGAAGTAATATTCATTAAAGGTTTCTCCATGTTTTTTCATGGCATGGCAGCCACTTCTTTTTAGTGCCGAATAATATTCCATTATCTAAATACACCACTGCTTATCCATTCACTTACTGAAGGACTTCTTGCTTGCTTCTAAATTTCAGCAATTATGAATAAAACTGCTATTAATATTCTTTTGCAGGTTTTTGTGTGGACATAAATTTTCAACACCATTGGATAAATACCAAGGAGTGTGATTGCTAGATCATATGTTAAGATTATGCTTAGTTTTGTAAGAAACCAACAAGCTGTCTTCCAATGGGGCTGTACCATTTTGCATTCCCACCAGCAATGAATGAGACCTTGTGTAGTTGCACATTCTCACTGGCTTTATTTTGTATTCTGTACTGTCAGTTCTTTGGATTTTGATAATTCTAATAGGTGAGTTGTGAATTTCTCATTATTGTTTTATTTTCCACTTTCCTAACAACATATAATGTGGAACATCTTTTCATATGTTTATTTGTCATTTGTATATCTTTTTTTTATACTTTATTTTTTAAATATATTTTATTGATTTTTCACAGAGAGAAAGGGAGAGAGATAGAGAGTTAGAAACATTGATGAGAGAGAAACATCGATCAGCTGCCTCCTGCACATCTCCTACTGGGGATGTGCCCGCAACCCAGGTACATGCCCTTGGCCGGAATCGAACTTGGGACCTTTCAGTCCACAAGCCGACGCTCTATCCACTGAGCCAAACCGGTTTCGGCCATTTGTATATCTTTGGTGAGGTAAATTTTAAGGTCTTTGGTTTATTTTTTAATCAGATTGCTTACTTTCTTATTGTTTAGTCTTGAAAGTTCTTTGTATATTTTGGATAACAGTTTCTTATCAGATGTATCATTTGCAAATATTTTTCTCCTACTCTGTGTCTTCTCTTGTCATTCTTTTGAGACCATCTTTCTTAGAGCAGTTGTTTTAAATTTTTATAAAGTTCATATTATCAATTCTTTCTTTCACGGATTGTGCCTTTGATGTTATGTGTAAAAAGTTATCACCAAACTCAAGTCTCATCTGAATATTCTCTTATGTTGTTTCCTAGGAGTTTGATAGTTTTGTGCTTTACATTCAGGTCTGTGATCAATTTTGAGTTAATTTTTGTGAGGGGTACAAAGTTTATATTTATATTATTGTAATTATTATTTTTTCAGCATCATTTGTTGAAAAGACTATTTTTTTCCTCCACTGTATCTCTTAGCTACTTTGTCAAAGATCAGTTGAATATTTTTCAACTGGGCTCTCTATTCTATTTCACTGATCTATTTGTCTATTTTTTCATCAATATCATATTGTCTTGATTATTATAGTATTATAGTAAATCTTTTTTAATCCTTGCCTGACAATATATTTATTGATTTTAGAGAGGAAGGAATGGAAAGAGAGAAACATCAGATGTGAGAGAGAAACATTGATTGGCTGCTTTCTGTATGCACACTAACCAGGGATCGAACTGCAACCAAGGTGTGTCCCCTGACAGGGAATTGAACCTGCAACCTTTCAGGGTATGGGGATAACACTTCAGTGAACTGAGCCACACTGGCCAGGGCAAAGTAAATCTTGAAGTCAGATAGGGTCTGTCCTCCAAATTTGTTCTTCTCTTTCAATAATATGTTGCTTTTCTGGGTTTTGCCTTTCCAGAAAACTTTTGTATCATTTTGTTGATATCCACAAAATAACTTACTGGGATTTTGATTGGGATTACATTGGATGTATAGATCAATTTGGAAAGTTGTCACATCTTGGCAATATTGAATCTTCTTATGCCTGGACTAGTCTTTGATGTATTTAGTTTTTCTTTAATTTGTTCATCTGAGTTTTGTGTTTTTCCTTATGTACATCTTGTACATATTTTGTTAAATTTATATGTAATATTTCATATTTGGGGTGCTTATGAAAATGGTATTGCATTTTTAATTCCAAATTCCACTTTTTCAATGCTGATTTAGGAAAATGATTGAATTTAGTATATTAACCTTGTATCCTATAGTCTTATTATAACCCCTTATAAGTTTCTGTTTTTTTTTAATTTTAATTCTTTCAGATTTTCTACATAGATGATCATGTCATTTGTCTACAAAGACAATTTTATGACTTTCTTTCCATCCAATCTATATACCATTTATTTTCTTTTCTTGTCTTATTGCATTCACTTGAACTTCCAGTATGATGTTGAAAAGGAATGGTGAGAGGGGACATCCTTGTCTTGTATCTGATCTTAGTGATCTTACCAACTCTGACACTAACCTATGTCTGTATTTCCTGAATTTATTAAATGGATGTTATTATTGTTTAAACCTATTAAGTCAGGATTACCTTTTACTTGCAGCAGAGATAAACTAACTGAAGTCTTCAAATCCAAAAGGAAACTTATAAACTATAAATGGGGTGCAAGCAAGGTGAAAATAAAGTTACATAGTGTACTATATTAAACTAGAAGCCTGGTGTATAAATTCATGCACGGGTGGGGTAGGCCAGCCTGCCCTGATCAGGGCTGATCAGGCTGGGCTGGCTGGAAGGAGGGGCCACAGGTGGTTGACCGGCAGGCCCCACCCCCTGGTCAAACTCCTGGTTGAGAGGACAATTTGCAAATTAGCCTATATTATATAGGATGTACCTCCAGGGGCAATTAATTCAAGAAATACTTTAGATATTTTTGTTAAAAATATCTATTGCTTCCATCTAAAGGTCATTTTCTTCTCCAATGTTTTATTGTACCCTATTTACATTTTATTATACCATTTATATTCCGACTTATATCTGTATATGAATTTGTCTTATGTCTCTAGCTCATAATCTTTGGGGGGTCTATATTTTTCTTTTGTACAAGCATATACTTTTATACCAGTAGGAACTGAATAAACATTTTTAAATAGATAAATAGATAGTACCTAGGGTTTTAGGATGCCAGAATAAGGTGAGGTAACTGAAGATAAGCTTATCCATCAGATACCTGTGGTTGTACACAGAGCAAGGAAAGATTTAGTGTCAATGGAATGCTGATGGAAGAAAGGGCATTGCTTTCAGAAAACTAAAAAGAGCAGCAATGTTACAGAAGGTATAGGCAGTGAGCATATTTGACATTGCTACAAAGTTTAATATAAAGTTTTTTGGGGAAAAATAACTGGTATATAGAAGATATGTCAAATGTGGACTTCTCCACAGTGTAGGCTTTGTGGAGTTAAGTGATATTAAAACATGTTCAATGATGGTTGGTAGGCTAAGCGATGTAGTCTGGTCACAAGCCCAAGAATACCTAGGCATAGTCCCAAGAGAAGTTTGTAATCAAATGCAGATTGCAGAAAGAGTTTCAAATCTTACATGATTTTCATAATGAATGTTTTGGATTATCACAGTATGTTTTCCTATGCTCATTTTCATTTAGATGGAGGGGGGATTTCAAGATCCATGCCTTATACTTTTTATTTCAGTTCCTTAAGGTACCCAGAATTTCCTCGCCAGAAGGATTTATGTAAAAATTAGAATCCATCTTGAAATTCAACTAAAGATTGCATCTCTAAGTTGTTTCAAAAAATTGAGAGCTGAGCATATTGTAATTCTCAGAGCTATCCCTAGACAGACAATATTGCAGAAGTTTTATGCCCATGTGTCTTTGTTTTGCAAATGAATATGCAATATTACATGAGTACAACAAAAAATTAATCTTGGAATCAAAGAACCTAGCAAATGCTGAATTGAAAAACATGAGTTAACCTTAAAGAGAAAAGAAGCATCTAAATGTCGTAATGTCTCACATTTTACAGTGATGTCTTCTTTGATGGTCAAGGGTTAGGGAAAGGAATAGAGACTCCATATAGTAGTAAATGCTCATTTAAATGAATATTATTGTTATTCCTGTAAAAACCACATAATGAAACTAAATTATTCAAATATTACTTAGAATCGTGTTCTTATAAAAGATACCAGGCGCATAGCCAATATCATTGCAAAACAAACAGGCAACACCAACAAAAAATTGTATCATTTACAGAAACCATGGCTTAGAATTCCTCTCATGACTAGAATTGTGACAATTCTGATGTAAAAACTGGTGAAATTATTCTTTGTATTCTTATGCAATTATAACAATGAAAACACCTTCTTGCTTAATATGGCATTATAAATAATCTGCGGGAAAATGTATTGTATATACTTGGGTGAATCTATTTTTGTCTCTTTCAAAGTTGCATTTTTAATAGCTTCTCGTCTTCTTCCTAATCAATTAATACATTGGGCACCCTCCATTTAAATGATAAAGATGCCTGACTTTGAATTTTCTCTGAAGTTGAAGACTAACAGTGTCTGAAAAGAGACTTAAAAGTATCAAGGTAAAATATTTTTAAGTCACAATTTAATTTGAAATGTTCCAATTATATGTTTCTCCTTGAGGGATATTATTCCAAATGGTTTGAGAAAGAAAAATCTTTTAATAAATAAGTTATATCTACATAAAGATCTAAATCAAAGATGGTTGATTAATTGATAGCATCACCTTAATAGCCTTGAGAAAGAAAACCGTAACATTCTGTCCAATAGTGTCAGGTGGCTGATGGTCAAAATGGCTGTACTGAGAAATAATCTCCATCCTTCCACACTCTCCAAATGAGGTCAGTTGTCTGTGAAATGTGTCTCCTGCCCTTCCTCTTCACTCCCATCCTCTCACATAATTTTTTTTCGTTGACGTGTCTCTTTTAGTGTTACTCTGTCTGGTAATGACATTTTAGACAATGAAGCATGTTATTGAAATTTATTCTTGTTTAATACAGGCTTCTTCTATAATTCATTTAACTTTCCAATGTGATTTCATTATATAAGATAACCCATTACAGTGAGAAAACTGGCACACGGACAAGTTCAATGTTTTTAGTCCAAGAATTTGTGACTAAGATATGACCAGAATTCAGTTTTCTCACTTTCTAACATGGCCCTCTTTCTTTTTAAAAATATGTTTTTATTTACTTCAGAGAGAGGAGGGGAAAAGCAGAGAGAGATAGACACATCAATGGGAATCATTGATCAGCTGCCTCCTGCACACCACCCGCTGGGAATTGAGCCTGTAACCAGCACCGACTGGGAATTGCATCATGACCTCCTGGTTCATGGGCTGATGCTCAACCACTGAGCCACACTGGCTGGGCAGTATGGCCCTCTTTCCATGGTGCTGCCCATCCTTCAATTAAATGAAGTAAATATATTTTGTTGGAACCAATTCTCTTCAGGGAAGTGCCTTAGATTCAGCTCTATCTGCTATCCAGTATGACCACTCTTTTCATGTCATTCTCAATCCTTTTGAGGAAAAACATCCTTGCTTGTGGCATTGAAGACACAGTCTGATGATTGTATGTTCTTTCCAGGCCTGAGGACACCCCCTTGTCACAAGCTAAGAGTTTCCTGGGATACTTTGCCCTCTCACCAATGACTTTCTTCTGAGTCACCAAGCTCTGAGTTAAAGTTGGCTGAGAAATTTAGAAGAGAGAACTGGTAGATTATAAACCTTAAAATATAATACTTACATATCTGATATATGCATAGATAGTATTAAGAATTGCATATGTCAGAATCATGTTTTATTTGTTATAGTACTTAATGTAAATGTGTTTAGTAAAGCTTTTTATATTTATTCACATTGGAAATATTAAATAGCTTTAGAACATTTTCATCAGTTTTGTTGAATATTTGGAAATAAATTTAAGTTCAACTGAGTGAATCCAAACTATATTTTTTAATTCCTGTTATAAATATTACTTCAAAGTTTAAAAATTCTCCAGCTAATACCTATAAACTCTTGGGAATTTACTGAAGTGTATTTGTTAGTCTGTTCATATCTACTGTTTATGACTAAAGAAAAATCAAATAAGGAACAAGCTCTAAGAATCACTTTGTGTTAGTGAATAAAACAAATCATTATAACTTTATTTCTTCTGAATGATTTGCTGTTTTTTGTATTGTTTTGTGTGTGTTTTTTATTATTTTTGGTAACAGTTCAATTTTGATTTGTGTTTTTCTAGTACTTTGTATGCTTCAGAATGATTTTCAATTCTCTTACTCTTAAATAAAATGTTTTATAGAATTAAGGCTAAGATTAGGGCTGGCCAGGTGGCTCAGTTGGTTAGAGTGTTGTCCCAATACACCAAAGTTGTGAGTTAAACCCCTGGTCAGGGCACATATAAGAATCAACCAATCTCTATATATAAAAGCCTAAGTGACCGAACGACCGAATGACAGGTCGACCAGTCGCTATGACACACACTAACCACCAGGGGGAAGACGCTCAATGCAGGAGCTGCCTCCTGTTGGTCAGTGTGCTCCCACAGCCAACCTCCTTCAGCTGTCCGACTCCCCCTGCCCCCGGTCCACCAACCACCCATGGCCCCTCCCCCGGCTGGCCGGCTCCCATCGGGACTGAGAGAGATGACCCTGATAGGCCACAATTGCCAGCCAGGCTGAGGGACCCCACCCTTGCATGAATTCATGCACCAGGCCTCTAGTGGATATATAAATAATTGGAACAACAAACTGATAGTTCTCTCTCTTGCTTTCTCTCTCTCTCTAAAAAATTAATAAAAAAGAGATGTTTCCAAACAAATTTTTCATAGATAAAAATATCTAAATTTTTATTTTCATAAGCTTTACTTAAATAACTTTATTAAAATGAAGTAATCATTTTAGTGTTTAAGCTTTGTTATATTTGAGAACTTTTTATGTGAAGGTATTTGAAAGTAATTATCTATAGTGCTTATGTGGATAATCTTAATTTCTGCTGCTTAATTTTCTTAGTTGGCCATTATGCCAGATACCTGTGATGAATTGCCTTTAGTAATAAAACTGTGTATCTACCTGTTTATCTATCATCTATCTATCTATCATTTCACTTACCTACCTATATCCTAAAGAATCTGAAAATATTAGTTTCAGACTTTAGAAATTAGTCAATTATGAGTGTGGTTTTTATCTTTCTAACTTTAATCTTTCTACAGAACATTTGGAGAGAAGTACAAATCTCATTTGGCCCACTCCATGGGCCAACATTTTCTACTTTTTTTTATCTGGCAGCTAGAAAATTTAGGTCCTTTCTCTTTCACAGTAGACAATTTCTCCAAATATTGCAGCAACTTTGAAACTTAAAATTAGTATCTTACTGAACGCCTTAACCTTTTATGCTTAGATTATTTATAGCTATTAGTCTTCTAATAGGACACACCAGCCATCCCCCATTTTTTTTTTACTCCAGTTGTTCATATGCATCTCTGACAGATTGATCTTCCTAAGACATGTAGTTATCAAACTTTTATACATCGCACCTCTACCAAATTGATAAAATCTTCACCCTAGCATTAAAGACTTCACTGTGCTTTCAACCTCACCTCTCTAGTACCCGCTAGTTTTTTTCTGAGGAGCTTAGTCTACATTCCTTCTCTAGATTTTCATATTTAAGTAACTGCTTATATCATCTCCATCTCCTTGCATAACTTCTACTTACATCAATTAGAATCTTACATAGTTGACCCTCACTAATGTTAATTTCTTTCTACCTGAAGATATAATGTTGTTAATATGTAAATTCTTCATATTCCCTATGTTACTCATTGTAAATGCTCAGTAAAAATTTGTCAAATAAACAGTAAGATGAAATTATTACTTGGAACCTATTTAATTCAGAGTTAAAAGTGGTCCTAAACAAATCCTAAAAACAAATCTTCTCCTCAAATGTGTGTATTTCTATATTAACATTACCCTTTGCTTAGAGATGTTATTTTGGGCAAAAAGACTGGAGATTTCACGGGATCCAAGAGGTCTTTCTGAGGAGCATTCTGTGAAATCCCTGCAAAAGTTATCCTAGCAAAATTTCCCACACTAATTAAATATGCCAAAGATGGCTTCAATGGAGATTAACCTCTGAGTTTAAGGGTAAGTTCTTCCTCCTTTTCTTTAAAATAAGTTACTTCTCACTGGATTAGAAAGCCAAATAGAGTCCAAAAATTGAATTCACTAGAGGCTGTGCAGAAAGAAAGGTATGTGACAGCAGCATCTATTCTCTAAAGGCTTAAATATAATCCAATGATAATCACTTTAAAAAAGAGTAAAACAAACATTTGGAAAAGAAATGAAGGGCAGGAATAAATTCTCAAGCATAGGGAATAATGATGATTTTATGGCAAACGATTACTTTATTTAATATGTCCATTTCATTAGTTATTGTATTGAAATGCTCTATTAAAAAAATTATCCCACAAGTACATAGTGCTGAGGGAAAGAAGGTGTTTCTCAGAAATTACTTTGGTAGTGATCAACCAGTTTGAAGCTTTTTATTATGTTCTGAGCCTAGTGAAAACTATTTATCTCTAGAAGCCTGATCTGTAAACACAGTTCAAGAAAGTGAAGTCTTTGGGGGTTCCTTTGCTAGGCCATTTAGTTATATCGCTGCACCTACTCAGTGCTCTTGTTTCTCCTCATACCAATGAAATCTCTTCACAACTGGTAAATGGTGAAACTGGGATTTGAACCCAGGCCTGCAGACACTAAAGCCTAAACATTAATTATGTATTTTTGTTCAAAACTAACTTTGCAGCTTAAGTATCATCATCATCATCATCATCATCATCATCATCATCATTGCTGACATTTATTGAGTGCCTACTATGGGCCAGGTACTGGGTTAAGATTCTTTTTTTTATTATTGATTTTTTTACAGAGAAGAAGGGAGAGGGATAGAAAGTTAGAAACATCAATGAGAGAGAAACATCTATCAGCTGCCTCCTGCACAACCCCACTGGGGATGTGCCCGCAACCAAGGTACATGCCCTTGTCTGGAATTGAACCTGGGACCCTTCAGTCCGCAGGCCGACGCTCTATCCCCTGAGCCAAACCGGTCAGGGCTGGGTTAAGAATCTTTATATTTATTGTGTTAAATTTCAAAATGGTGTTATTGTATTTCATGGATGAAATTTTTTAAAAAAAATATGTATTTTATTGATTTTTTTACAGAGAGGAAGGGAGAGAGATAGAGAGTTAGAAACATCGATGAGAGAGAAACATCGATCAGCTGCCTCCTGCACATCTCCCACTGGGGATGTGCCCGCAACCCAGGTACATGCCCTTGACCGGAATCGAACTTGGGACCTTTCAGTCCGCAAGCCGACGCTCTCTCCACTGAGCCAGACCGGTTTCGGCTCATGGATGAAATTTTATGCTGTGGAATGGCCCAAATAATCTAGAGCTTGTCATTTACATTTTTGCATATCATCTTCATCTTAAAAGTAGCCACAGTTCTGGGTCATGTTTATATTTATTTCTCTTATGTTTTAAATTTCTTAAAAGTAGAACACATACAGATATCTACCATTAGTAAAGTAGGTAGCATAAATAAGTAAATCAGACTTTAAGATGATAAGGACTAGTGAGGATTATGGAAAATTGTGAGTTTATGTTCTACAGGAAGTCATTCAGATTTAATTTGTAATGAAATTGTGTGGGAACACACGCACACACACACAAGCACGCACACACAAAAGTCACAAGTTTGTAGACCTTTAAACTATTGCTTCTTTTCCTTTTTAAGCAAAGGTTTTTAGATACGATAGATCAAGAAGATTAAGAAAAAAACCCTCATAGACATAGACAACAGTATGGTGTTTACTAGAGGGGTTGGGAAAGGGGGAAGACAGTATGGGGGTATAAATGGTGATGAAAGGAAACGTGTCTTGGGGTGGCGAGCACACAATACAATATACAGATGATGTATTATAGAATTGTACACCTGAAACCTATATGACTATTAACCATTATCACTCCATTAAATTCAATTTAAAAAATCTAAAACAAACAATGAACAAACAAACAAATAAATAGAAAGATATACTTTCATTTGGGGAATGAATGTGAAGTAATTGGTTTGCATGTATTCATATTTACGCCCTCAAATCTAGTCTGATGAGTGCACGATGATCGCTTTTAAGGAGTTACTGCTTTGGTTGAATTATTTCACTTCGGTGGTGATGTTATATACGCGTTTTAGTACTTCATCAAAGAAGAAAAATAGATCCTGAGTTCCCTTCTTCTCTCAGATGATTATAGTTCATAGCTTGAGAGCACAGTAGTTAGTTGGCAATCAGAGGACTGTGCAAGGGCAGAGCCTGGCGCTCACTGCTGTGTGGACAGTTGCCGGCCACGGCTGCTAGGGCTCTCACTGGCGGCTCCTTTATCAAGTGGTGTTTCAGTGTTGGAAAATGGGACCTCATTGTTTCAAAGTTTCAGTTTGGAAAATCCAGACATTAAGAGCTAATCTACATTTTAAAACAGTTGTCTTTGGAAGAAATTATGCTATAAATGAGAAACCTGTGTGGAGTTCTGGGCTCTCTCTTTATGTTAGCTTTGGCAGGGCCAGGAGCCTGTTTTGATGATAACGCCAGCATTTGAAACCTGTATTTTACATCACAGGAAAACTAAACAAATTTAAAACACTCCACATTTGCCTTTTGACACCCCGTAACCAATAGATGAACTCTAATTTCTGGGCAGCCTCCCAGCGATTAATGCCTCCCCATTTATGACGTGAGAAGAATGAGCAGCATGTTACAGTTGGTCTTCTGTCCGTTTCTGAAGAGTGCCGTGCCAGGATTTTGATGTGCACTCGCGTTCTGGCACCAGGCTTCACACTTCTCACCCAGCACAGAGCCAGCTCACAGATCCTGCTCGGCACAGCAACTCCAGACATGCAGCCTGAATTTGAAGGTGCCCTCTTAAAATGTGGCAGGCACAGCCTCTCTCTTCATATTTGGAGCTCAGTTGCCTTCAGAGCAGCCTTGGAAGAGTTGTGTGTTACCTACTCACTGAAGCAATCTCCATAAAGGTGAGGCTTGGCACTGCAGTGCTGCGCCACAAATGTTTTCTGTTGCCTATACTTCCTTTTAAGAGGAAACTCTTACATATCTCTTTCCCCTTTGTTATTAGAGATTACATACTCTTGCCCTCGCTGGTTTGGCTCAGTGGATAGAGCATCAGCCTGCAGGTTGAAGGGTCCCAGGTTCAATTCTGGTCAAGGACACATGCCCCGGTGGCAGGCTCTATCCCTAGTAGAGGGCATGCAGGAGGCAACCAATCAATGATTCTCTCTCATCATTGATGTTCCTATCTCTCTCACCCTCTCCCTTCCTCTCTGAAATCAATAAAAAATATTTTTTTAAAAAAGAGAGAGAGATTACATACTCTACTCTCTTGGAGGGATCAGTATTGGACTAAGTACCTTTGGGGCCTTCCTTGATTCCTGCATCCTTTATGGAGAGGTATGACATTCACTCAGCCATGTGTGGTAGTTGTTAATGCTGTCTACCAAATAATTTTGCTTCTCCCCACTTCAAGGCAAATGGTAGGATTGCATTTCCTGCCTCCTTCTGTAGCAATGTAACTGCTTTGGTCAATAAAAATTGAGCAGCCCTCACCAGGTGGCTCAACTCATTGGAGAATCGTCCTGTACACCAAAGGGTTATGGGCTCAACTCCCAGTCAGGGCATGTGCCTATATTGTGGGCTCGATCCCCAGTTAGGGAGTGTATAGGAAACAACTGATGGATGTTTCTTTCTCACATTGGTGTTTCTCTTTCTCCCTTCCTCTTGCTCTAAAAATCAATAAAAACATCCTCAGGTGAGGATTAAAAAAATAATAATAAAGCCCAGCTGGTGTGGCACAGTGGTTGAGCATTGACCTATGAGCCAGGAGATCACGGTTCTGTTCTTGGTCAGACATGCCTGGGTTGTGGGCTTGGTCCCCATTGTGGGGTGTGCAGTAGGCAGTTAGTCAATGATTATCTCTCATCATTGATGTTTCTCTCTCCCCCTCTTTCTCTCCGAAATCAATAAAAATATATTAAAATAATAATAATAAAATAAAAATTAAAAAAAATAAAAATTGAGCAGAGGTAATGTGTTACTTTGCCCTGTAAATATTAAAAGCCAGTGTGAGATTCACCACTTTCCTTCTCTTCCTGCTGCATGATTAAAGAGGCACAGGTTGAGAGGAGGCCTATATTAGCCTGGGCCCCTGAGTAACTGTGATAAAGAGAACCCCTGTTTACCAGTTTTAGACTTGAAACATGAACAAGAAATACATGTTGGTGTGTTGGTCACTCTGATTTAGTTATTGCTTGTTACTGCATCATAACCTAGCCCATGCTGACTAATGGGCCTTGTTAACTGAAATATGAAACTATTGCACTGAAGTTCAAACACGACAGAGCCAGGTACAACTCTTTCTTGTCTTATTATCTCTCAGTGAGTTTCCTCCAAGTAGATAAGAGACAAACAGAGCCTTGCTTTAGTAGGTTGACCATCTTTTAAATATTCTCCCTGTGACAGGATAGAAATACCAAAGTATAAATCAAGAAAGGGGATAGAAGAACATGCTATGTTCTCCTACTAGCTTCACCATTAATAATTTTACTATATTTTGATCCCTACTTAGTTCTTGTGTCTTTCTTCTCACATCGGTTATGGAAGCTATAAGAAGGAGAAGTGATGATAATTGTTTTCCCAAATCTCCAAACTTACAGAACTTAGATATTTATACAGCACACTACTAAGTCATACCTGTAGATAACAGGTGTAGGTATACTATTGTTATTTCTTAAATGGTAGTAGCCTAATTATTTACAGATGTAATGGGCAGGACATGGGCCCTAACTTTTTAAGCCCCTGGTGTACATTCCCTGAATTCCTTTCCTTTTGGTGTATAATGAAAATATCATTTTTGTATAAATGAAATACCACTCCCCATGGTTAAGTTACATTTTATGGCACAGATTGAAGAGATGTTGCCAATGTAATTAAGATCCCTAATCAATTGAGTTTGAGTTCATCAAAAGGAGGATTATTTTAGTTATACCTAACTTAAGTGATATTTTAAGAGTCACTTTCATAGAAGTCAGAGTCATTTTCCTCCTGGTGTTAAGGAAGCAAATAGTGAAGTTGAGAATAGCCAAGAGAGGAGGCCACAGGGCAAGGAGCTGAAACTGTCCTCTCGTTGCTCAGGGTGGTTCCTGGCTTACATCTAATGAGAAAGTAGGGAACTCAGTCAGAAACAAAATCTGCCATCAACCTGAGGTAGCAGATCTCCCATAAGTTATTCTCCAGATGAAAACATTGGCAATCAGCATCTTGCTTTAAGCCTTAAAAGATCCAGCGAAATGTGCCATACTCCTGACCCACAGAATCTGTTAGATAATAAAATTTATGTTGTATTAAATTTGTGGCAATTTGTTATGTAGGAACAGAAAACTAATGCAAAAGTAATCTGACCTGATAGTCTTTTCTTGAAATATCTAGCTTTTTAAAATATATATATTTTTATTGATCTCAGAGAGGAAGGGAGAGAGAGAGAGAGAGAGAGAGAGAGAGAGAGAGAGAGAGAAACATCAATGATGAGAGGAATATTGATCAGCTGCCTCCTGCGCGCCCCACACTCACAACCTGCACACGTGCCCTGATCGGGAAATAAACCGTGACCTCCTGGTTCATAGGTTGATGCTCAACCACTGAGCCATGTTGGCCGGGCTTGAGCTATTGTTTTAATAACAAATCATCTAACATTTTCTGCTCTTTAGCTTCCTGAAAACAGTTT